GTCAACAAAAAAGAGAATGTGTGAGGGGTAAAATTCTGCGTGTGAGTTAGAGGAGAACAAAATTTGGTTGCCTAGAGTGAAGACGTGGAATTTCATGTCTGACTGAGGGTATGCTTGACCACTGTCAACACCAGAAACCTTAGCCTCTGAAGATTTAACTTCTTCCTTTGGGTTGGCGATCGGTCCCGATTTCCACCTTTTTGTCCAAATTTGCATGGGAAATTTGCATACGTAGTGACTGGTTAGGTAGGTTGAACGCAATAGACCCTACAATCTGCAGAGGAGCACCGTACCCCAGGGGAGGGGATTTGGTGAGGACACACTTTTCCTCAAAACAAAAGATAAATATGTGTAACTCTTCATCATAAATTGAGATGAAGAGTGTTCATAAAGCAATGTTAAGTGTATGAGTGATTATTATGACGACGCTCACCAAAAATTGATGTGAAGATGAGTCGTTGGCCATCCTTCTGGAGAGACGCTTCTTGGCCTGTTTTTCAGATGCAAGGATCACCTTGCAATGAGCACTGTCTTCTTGTAAAACATCACTGAGACACCAAAATTTGAAAGTATGGGACGAGTTCAGCAGGCAGCTTTGCAAACATCTGATAGAAATACCCACTGGAAGTAGGCCAATGATGTAAAAACTGCCCTGATGTCATGTGCTCTGATGTGACATCAGCTCTGATCATCTGAAGGATTCAGCCAGTCCATGTTAGCAAATTTGATGGTTGAAACTAATGACGATGCTTTATGATGCATGTCACCCCTCCGACATTTGGCTATTCACAATTAGGAATGGCAACCCTGGATCCTACAGGATGCCCTGACAATCAAAATAAATAACAAGATCAAAGGGTCTTCTGGAATTCCAATATTCTGTATTCTAATATTTACAACACGAGCTCGATATGTTATTAGAAAGTTAACTTCTTACAGAATTATTTAATTATTTACAGGTCTGTGATTAAGTCATAAAAACTTAATTATAGTCAATTAGTCAATGAAGTGACTCTGGGATCATCACATCAATCATAAAAAAGAAAGGTGCCATCAGATATCCACTTTAAATTATTGAAATAGCAAAATTAATCGGTCCACCATCTGCTGAAGTTTCTGCAGCCCCCTGAATCTTGTGTCTAACAGAGTTTTTGTGAGAAAAAAAAGTGTGTTGGTATGTTCAGGAATGAGGGAGTCTGATTCTTCATGAGAAAATTCAATGCTGTTGTATATTTCTTCCATGTGGACAATCATCATCCTGACCGATTCCCGACTTTACTATTGGCCTATCCGCCTGGTTAGTTGTGGGGACCATGGTTGTCAAGGCCAGAAGGGTGCAACGAGTTGTACTTGGCATCCCTCCCATTTGATCTTGGAGACAACCTTGGGAAGTAGTGATATCAGAGGAAAGGCATATGCTGACATACCCTCCCAGCTTATCTACAGGGTGTTTGTGGCCCACACCAGAGGATGAGGTAGTCTGGTGCAGAACACTGCTAGTTGTGCGTTGAGTTCAGAAGCAAAAAGGTCTGCCCCTTGTGAGGAAAATCATGTTGACCACTATAAAGTTCGAAGTACATTCAGTCAGTCGGACAGACCCCGGTGAAAGTGTGTCTGCCTGTAGGACAATAGTCTTTTCCATTGTCCAGTGGAGTAGTTGCCAAGTCAGTAGGCACAACTATGGAGACCATGTGCCGCCTTGGAGATTGATATATGCAATTGTCATTGCACTGTCTGATTGAACCATGTCACATTTGCCCTCTACAGCCATTTGAAAATGACGTATGAAGATCACCTGAAGTTTGAAAATGTTGACATGTATTAGCTGGTGTTGAGGACCCCACATGCCTGCTGCTTGGAAGCTTGGAGGGAGAGAGGCCCTCCACCTAAACTTTGAAATGTTGGTGATGATTGTAACCTTAGGGTTTGGTGAGAAGGGGAGACCCACATTGAGATGTCTGAAGAGCCACCAAGTAAGGTGGGGATGGATGGTTGAGGGGACATGCTTCGTTCCTCGGTGTGGCTATGCCCTTACGGAGGTCAAGTACTGCCCCCTAGGTAGGTTGGTTTTTGAGGATGGATTGTGCCTGGGAGATGTAAATTAATTTTGGGTTTTTGCCCTGCCCGACGTGTATTTTAACACTGTATGCTCTGAGTTCATTGGAGCTCAACTGTCAAAACTAAAATTTTGACACGATTCAATTATTTCTAGGGTTCATATGAAATGTACGTGTAACTTTTAAACCACACACAGAATCAAGACTGTGGGAAGACCTTCCTTTAATTCAAAGAAAGACACGCATATAAACGTCCCAAGCTGCCGAGAGTGGTAATGGCAAGGCCCGTGATGCTTCTATCTACATACACTTCCACTGTGGCACGGTGAAAGTACCATCCCATGAGTGCCTCACAACCAAGACTTTTGCTTCATGCAGATCTACAATGTATTAAAGTCAGTATTTGGACTCAATATGCTGGCATCCATGCTGTCATAAAGACAGAGAATTTTAGGTTAATTTAATGTCAGCATTTTTTCCTGTTAATTTTTTATTGTATGCTGCACAAAAATAAAACACACTATCGGTGTTTTGCCATTTCTCAAGTTCCGGCTAAAATTGATTTGGCAAAACCGCTTCAGTGTTGCTGATGTCATTGACAAGATTATTTTCATCATGTGAGTGAGAAGAAACCGAATGATCATCAGCATTGCTGTCAGAACCAACATACCAATGCTGGGACTGCTAGGCTCGGAGTCTGACATTGTTGTGTATATACATGTATGCTGTACAGATATTTTACGTTCTTGACCTCGTCCAGGGATTCTCCAGGTAATGTATTTAATTTCCTTAAAGCCATATCTCCCTCTTGAAACTTACTTGTACAAATTTTTGGGTGTCTCCCGCCCCTCGTCAGGTATGACTGTCAGACTGTGTAGTTAAAAGAATAAACTGATTCATGCTGTATTCCCCTCAATGAAGGAACCCTCAGCTACATCCATATGCACCGTCAATCCAACGGTTCTTTGACTTGGGTTGAGTATCATATGAAATGTTGTTATTTTGGCCTGCACACAAATGCACCTTAGTCTGAATTTTGGCTCCTAACTGATGCATATGGGATACAAGTTTTGCCCCTTTTGTGGGAAATGTGAATACACCAGCATTACAATGAATCAGGAAATGAGGATATTCTTTACAAGGGGTAATGAAGCCCAAAGAAACCCTTCAGGGTTACCTCCCAGGATCTTCCTCTATCCCTCAAAACATGTCACTGTTAGAGGATATTACTCTCAAAGAAAAATTTTCCAGTTTGCATGAAATGTTTGGGTGAATGAAATGATGAAAGTGATGAAAGGTTGGCTAGGGGCATTGGATAAGTATTACACTGTTCGCAGTGGCTTATCAGCATTACGTGTATCTTTGCTAACATCACAATGCCTATTTTGGCATTAAAACACCCATCTCTGCGACTCAGCTTCACGAATGGGGACATGTATCTGCCAAGACTTGAAGTGCACCCACACCAACAAGGAAATGACACGCTGGTGGGGAGTTTTTCAATGGGCCTCATTGATGTATCTAGTGCACACAAGAAAACACTACATTCAGACACTGGTTGCATGTGCTCAGCAGACCCCATGCCAAATGCATGTGCACTCATGGTGAGTTGCCTCCAAAGTGTTGCACGTACACAGTGTTGTATGTACATGACATATTGCACATTTAATTGTATTGCATTTTAATGTCAATGCCTGAATAAATATTATTATCCTTGCTCTTCAAAAACACACCCTCTCCTGCTCGGAGTAGATAAAAATTGAATACATGCTATTTGATGTGGCAAGTTTGGACTGACATTTTCCTAGGGGCTCCTTTACCTCAGAGATGAATGCCGAGAAGATTATATGTAATCATCTTGTAACAACTTCTGCAAAAGCTCACTCACATATCACAAGTCCAGTTTTGAAAATCTGTCTCTTGGCTGGTTGGCCTGTTTGGACCTGCCTTGGGTCAAAATGTCTTGGAAAGATTTCATCTGTATTTTTTAGTGATGGCAAACCCAGAGAACATCTTGATTCCATGTCACACTGAAGTTTATTGGACTTCAATATTCATCTTTCTGCCAACATCCTATACCAATGGTAGTTGGGGAAAGGGTGTGGGTACATCTCCTCATGGTCTCCTTGTGACTTGTACCAAGGAACCAAGGGGATCTGTTGTGGATTGGGGCTCCCCTTTGAAACAACCTACACAGGCAAGTCCTGGGTATAATATTGCAAGCAGTTTCATAATGATACATTGGGCTAACCTGTTATATACATACCATTTCAATATCGAAGAGAAATGGCTTATTGTCACTTTGATTTATAAAACCAGTAAGGGCTATTGAATTTGAATACCACTTATTGGCAACCAGGTATTGTAGCAAATATTGCTCCATCACTTGGTCTTGGAGAGTAAAAAATAGTGTGAAATGGAATCTTGAATGCAAGAGTCAGCATTTGTAATGTCCAACTTTATAAAAGACCATGGCTGTGGTATACTATTTTAAAAAGTTACTAGCACTGTCTGCCAATATGCAGACAGTGCTAGTAAATACTAGCACTAGTGCAGAAAATACTAAAATGAATTTTTAAAAGCACACTTTTTTGAAAAGGATGTACTTTTTTGAAAAGGATGTATTAGGATGTACTTTCTGCATGTCCTACAAACAGCTTTTAATTCTCATTATAAAGACGAACAAAGAAATTGACAAGAGTGAGATTTGAACCTGCGACATTTAGAACACTGTACCGGTGCTCTACCAAGTGAACTATCCGGCCCCACATTGGTGGCATTCCCATTTGTGAATGTCTTTGTTTGGGGAGGGCCATTAAGCCTGAAACATCATGTAGCCAGAGATTACGCCCCAATAACATGATACAACCTAGGAAGAGGTAAACAGGGACCTTTTAATTCTAAGTGTAATTTGTGGAATAAGCACAGTTAAAAGCTACAAACCTGATTGCTTGGTCTTTGCTTCTTGTCTTCTCTCCCTTGCATCATGGAGGGTCTAGTTAGGTAGAGAATAATGGCAAGAACTATCCAACCGACAGTTATCATCAACAGAGAAAAAGTGATGTAGCCATCATTATCAGAAGTTGGGTGTGGTACTGTATGTAAAGAATAGGAAAAACAAGTTTGATAAATGAAACAGTCGGCAAACAATTAACAAATACAAAGTTTGTTATTTGCAGGGAATTTTCACATTTGAAGTCATTAAACTTCGTCATATGTAGATTTACTTTGATAAATTGTATTCTGCAGGCCACTGTCTCATGAATACATGTATGTGTGCTACTGCTGGCTACAGTTAAACATTGAGATGTATTTATTTTGCAGTTACTTACACTCGAGGTCACACTGTGAATCTGAACATGACTGCTGAGAGTCTCTAAGCTGTGGAAAAAAAAAATTGTGAAATTTAAATGACATTTGCGTCACATCCAAATACCCTTTGTCTAATAGGACATACAATCCAAGCAAAAAATCATTTGCTTTGCAAAGTGGCCAAAACTGCATACCCCTTGATTCTAAACAGGCTAAATTGACAAGATGCTATTATCAATCTGTTCTGGCACCACACTTTAATTTGGTATGTAAATATTGGCACTATACGTGTACATTATTCTTAAACATAAGGCAAACATGAACTTAAGCAACTTGTAAACCCCCATTTGTTGACCTTCATGTGCATGTACTGTATGAGTACATGCCAATACAGTGCAAACACAGATATGGGTTTAAATTCTGTCCCCTAAATTAGTCCATAGGTGGCATTAGTAACTAAAAGACATGAATATGTATTCAAAATAAGTGGTCACGAAGGACAGCTTAACTTACATGAGGATAACTTGTGTTGTTTTTTGGAACTATAATTGGTGCTGCCTTAAATTCTACATTACATACATGTAGAACGTAAGAGGAGTCCCAATTGACGCTGGATGACATATAAGTGCACATAATTTTTTTTATTTGTTCCAAGGAGGACGTGTTCTTTTATTTCCTTTGTTAACGCATTAAAATGTCAAGCTCTGTTGGGTTGCAGTTAAAGTGTAAGAAAATCTGACATTAACTGGTTAAAGGTTCAAGCCCCATCCATCATCCCATCCATCTCTTACTTTGATTTCCATTCCATCATCCATCCATCTCCAACTCCACCTCAAATTCATCATTTCATCCATCTCAAACTCCACCCCATCCGATCATTTCCATCTATACCTCCAGCCTATCATCCCATCCATCCCCTACTCAAGCCCCCATCCCATTATCCCATCCATCTCTTACTCCATTCCCATCCCATCCATCTCCTACTCCATCCCCATCCCATCATCCCATCCATCTTTTACTCCATCCCCATCTCATCATCCCATCCATCTCTTACTCCATCCCCATCCCATCATCCCATCCATCTTTTACTCCATCCCCATCTCATCATCCCATCCATCTTTTACTCCATCCCC